CACAGGGTCCACCAGCACCCTCTTCCCTGCCCGGCCTGGACCCTCACAGGCTTCCGGGGTCATACGCTGGCTCACATGCTGCAGGGGCGGGGCTTCCAGTGCGCACCCCCCCCGCCCCCACGGTCAGGCCTCAGGGTCCGCACCCCTTGCCCTCACCTTTGCCTTGCCTCCTTAATGGAGTTTCCCCGTGTACAATTTCACTGGTGCAGGGGCCGGGGATTTAGCTCAGCGGTTTTGTCACCTGCTGCGCAACCGGAAGGACCGGAGTTCTATCCCCGGTACCAAAAAAAATGTATTTTTGGGGCCGGGAATTTGGCTCAGTGGTTTCGCCGCCTGCTGCTGCTGCGCAGGCGGAAGGATCTGGAAGGATCTGAGTTTGATCCCCGGCACCAAAAAAACAAAACAAAACTGTGTACAATTTCACTGCTGCAGCCCCCTAGCACAGTGACAAGGGTCCGGGACCCTCTCCAGAGTGGCAGATGTTTTTCCCTTGGATCCACATCTGTAACATGAGGACATGCACAGTCCGCAGGTAATTCATGTGGTATTTGTAGGTGCCAGGTGCTACATCTTGCTCACTGACTACTCCATACTAAGTCAACCCCTTACTCCACCCCCTATACCTCCCCACCCCATCTCTGTCCCCTGGGACCTGGACTGTGCCCTTCCCTGGTGTCTGTAGAGAAGCAGCCTGAGCAGCTGAGGCTGATCCTGGAAGAGGAGGCCGTGTGAGGTGCATGCGGTGAAGTCAGGTTCCCGGAAGGAGCACGGAGTGGCCCGCTGGTGGCCTTGTCCCTTCTTTGCACCTCTTGTCCTCACTTCCAGTCTGCGCAGCAGGCACTGCAGCACCTGTGGCCCTGGACACAGCTGTGGAGGGTTCGGTGACCTCAGAAAGGGAAGTCCCGTCTCTCACACACACACACACACACACACACACACACACACCAGCCCCTGGGCCACCTGCCAGGGTCCTGGGCCCTCCTGGGTGTGCCCACTGGGTCAGAAGCATCACCCCTGCCCGGCCCCAGCACTGAGTCTGTCAGCACCTGTGCCCACGCCTGGAGATCACGTCTCTGACTGCAGAACCTCAAGATCAAGCTGTGAGCCCCACAGTCAGTCCCAGCCCCACGGTCACTGGCCCTGTCCTTGGGTGTTGCTGTGCACACTGGACAACAGGACATTTGCAAACTAGAGTCTTGTGAGGTGGGTGTGATGGTGCGCAACTGTAATCCCAGCACTTAGGGAGGCTGAGGCAGGAGGATTGCAAGTTTGAGCCCAGCCTGGGCAACTTAGACCCTGTCTCAAAATTAAAAAAAAAAATAAATAAAGGGCTGGAGATGGAGTTCAGTGCAAAGGCCCTGGGTTCAATCTCAGGACCACACAAACATGACATTCATGATTTCAGTCACCTGTAAGTGGCATGCCCTGCACTGAGCATGCTCGTAGTGTCATGTGACAATCATTGCTCTAGGCACCCCAAACGATTCCTCACCCCAGCATCCTCTGGGCTGGAAACACACAGGCCTGCGTGACCCTTGCCCTACTTTCTGTTTCTGTGTTGCTCCCTGTCTAGTGCCAGGTTCTGTCCTAACTTCCCAGTTATAGGCATCTGGCATGGGGATATACATGTTTTGGGGACACTAAGTCACGGGGGCTGTTCCCGACTCAGCCACACCACTGCTGTCCAGCATATTTCCAGGCTGAGCTCAACTTCACTAGCTGCTCCCTTAGTCACGAGGTTGTCCCCAGCGGGTACTGAGGGCAGGGCTCGAGGGTATGGGGAGCAGAGTGAGCTGGCAGGACCGGGCTCTTTTGTCCCTGGCACAATTCCTGCTGTGAGACACCAGAGACTAGGATGAAGCCCCAGGTGACCAGTGCCCTGGCCTCCATCTCCACGGCACAGAAAACACCCCATGTCCTGATGCTGCCCAAGACCTGAGGGGTCCTCAGGGCCCCCTGGCTGTGGGTGGGCTGGAGGCCCCATCACCATGCCGCTACCCACGCCCCTTGGTGTGCATCTCCATTCCCGAGGCCTTCTCTGCCTATCTTTGGAAAACAAAGTAATTCGCTTTTAATGACTGCTGGTGTTTTCCTTCCCGCTTCTATTGGGGCAGATAAAGTCGGGGGCCTCCCCACGGGTTAAACCACCGTGACCTTTATAATCAGAGAAAAGAAATGAATTATGTTTGCTCATAAATGTCACCAGGGCCCAGCCGCCTCCTCACAGGTGGTGATAACGCTCTGCTTTTATCAGGCCTGGGTGCTCAGGTGACAAAGTGCTCCTTTGTGCTGTTGATGGCAGTGGCCTCAGATTGGCCGGCTTTCCCACCGAGCCTTCAATGCGGGTGATTCTCCCACTGGGGGGACACGGAACTCCCTGGCATCCTGGGGGGCCCTGTGAACCCCTCAGGCCTTCAGACATGGGTGACACAGATTTGGTGCTCATGGAGCTGTCCCTGCATCCAAGCCAGACTCACCGACCTTGGAGCTTCTCAGGTGTCACCCCATAACCCAGACTGCACTGCTTGGGGCTGACCTGGCTTTGGGGTGCAACCCGTGTTCCCAGACTGCTTGGCACAGACCCCTGGACACAGCTTTGGTTTCTGCTGCCCCTGCGGAGCCTGGGGTACCTGGTGCTGGGGTAGTGGCAGTGTGGCAAGGGGCCTTCTCTCCAGGTGCAAGGGTGGCTCCCAGAAGCCTGGTGGTGACTTGACGCAGATCCTCCGAGTCAAAGGGCCCTGAAAGGTGACAGATGACAAAATGATGATGCCACAACTTCCTACTACCTCCTCAAGGGTGTGTGCAGGTTCTGAGGACTAGATCCACCTGGAATCTTCCAGATCCTGCTGTCCTGAGAGCTAACTGTTTTATTTTGAGGCAAGGTCTCACTATGCAGTTCAGGCTGGTCTTGAACTCACTATGTAGCCCAGGCTGGCCTTAAGCTCATGGTGATCCTCCTGCCTCAGCTTCCCGAGAGCTGGGAGAGCTGGGATCACAGGCTCGGGCCACCGCCCTCAGCATGTGAATTATTTTAACAGAATCTCTTCGGCCCTTACCTCATCCCGCTCTCCCCTCCTGGATGTGGCAGCTCCATCCTCTTTGCTGCCTGTTCTGTCCCCACCTCCTCCCTGCCCCAGGCTTCCCTGCCGGGTGTGAGGCCACATTGGCCATCCGGAGCGTGATTTATCAGCATCTGTCTCTGGGGCCTAAAGTGGCCTAAAGTGGAAATGCAGGCGCAGGCACCTCAGGCCCTGGGGCCCTGCTAGACCTGATTCAGAAAATAGGGGGCTTTAAGCCCTCCCTGCTCAGTCTGTCCATCAAGGGCCACAGCGCCAGTCACCATGGGGAGGGGCAGCTGGGCCCAGTGGAAGTGTGTTTCCTTCATTAATCAGACATTGGCTAGCAAGGACAAAATAAATCTCAAATAATCACATTGTATTTTTGACGAGTTAAGTAAATGTTTTATGCCCCTAATGAGGAACTTGCTTTCTGCAGTGATGGGCTCTGGAGAAGCACTTAGGAGGTCTGGTGGCTTCTCAAGCTCACACACCGCCTTCGGGCACATCTGCTTGGGTGCGACTCTTTCTAGGAAAGTGGAGTTTGGGTCAGCTGTGCAAAGTTGAGTGTTAACATTACAGCCCCATTGCACCTTGGCTTCCTGGCGGTGGGCACTGGCCGTGTCCTGCCTGACATTGAGCTGTGGAGCCAGACTCACCCTCTGGGACTTGGGTCTCATTCTGAACTTTCTAGGGTCTTGCATTAATCCCAGGAGGATGAGGTTAATTTTCCTGGACTCAGCAAGAATGTCCTGATCCATCCATCAGCTCTTAAGAATTACAAAGCAGATTCTAACAGACTCAATGACACTCAGCAGACAGGGGTCCTGAAGGGGTAGGTTTAGCCTGCTTCCCACTTGAAGGTAACCAGGCTCGGGCCCAAGCCCCAGCCAGGCACTAGCTTGGTCCCAGTGAGCACCCAGGTGGAGATGATTCAGACACCGACTCTCAGGCCTTTGGTTGGAGACCACAGCCTCAGAGTTGGAGGAGCCCCCGCAGGCAGACTGGCCAGTGGACGAGGGGTGGCGGGAGCAGGAGCTGAGGACACGTGGTCCTTCGAATCCACTGTGGCTGGCCCGGTCCTCTTCAGCAGCCTTGCCAGAGCACTCAAGCAGAACCATCTCTTCTGCACGTGGGTGGCCACACCCTAGGGTCCATGTCACCCCATCTGAGCATCGAAAGGCCCAGCCATCAGGGATCACCCAAGGGTCACCTTGCTTGCTCCTCGGTCAGCAGGGTCAAAGGTCAGCCCGAGGGCGCAGGGTAGATCAGATGCCCAGGATGCCGAGCCTACACAGCCAATGAAGGCACCTTTCGCTTCCTCACCCACCTGCCAGCCAGCCCTGGTCCAGGGCAGCAGGAACTAGGCTGGGCAGCCAGGATAGGACCATGCCAGAGCTGCGGAGGGGGTGGGCAAGTCAGCTTCACTGCATCAGGGAAGGAAGGTTGGGATATTTGGTTTGGTCTTGATTTTCTGGCTTTGAGACAGGGTCTTGCTGTAAGAGTTCAGGCTCGCCTTCAACTCACTAGGTATGTAGTCCAGGCTGGCTTCAAACTCCCAGTGATCTACCTGCCTCAGCCACCCAAATGCTGGAATTATAGGTGTATACTACCATGCCCAAAGTATTTTAGACACTGGAAGAAAAAGTTTTGAATTACAAGTGCTTTTTTAAAACTACAACTTACAGAAAAATTACACTTCACCTGTGCAAACTTCACCCATTCTGAACCTACCTTCTCGGAAGCAGGATGGTGCAAATCAGCTTCCTAACCCCCCACCCCACCCTCAGACTTGTTTGCTTTGGCAAGGCTAGGGTTAGAGCCCAGGGCCTCCCCAGGCAAGCAAGTCCTCTATGTCTGACCTACACCCAGCCCAAAGTAAGGCGCAGGTTGGCTGCTTCAGCAAAGCTCTTCTCTCAAAACAAACTGACACTCTACACAATGTAAGAAAATAGATTTTATTTACATTTTAACAAACTAGTTTGTTCTGTGTACCTGTTGTAAAGATGAAACCCCTAACAGAAGGCTTCTTTTTAGTCATTTCATACACTACCAGTTCTCAACCCACAGGGTAAAGTTCTGATTAACACCAAGCATTGTCCATGCAGCCTGCAGTGCTTCAAATGTAGGTGTCACAAATACAGTTTAAAACCGCTTTTTTTTTTTGGTACCGGGGATCGAGCTCTGGTCCTTGTGCTTGCACAGCAGGCAGGGAAACCACTGAGCCAAATCCCTGGCCCAAAAACCACTACTTTTAAAAGCAATTCTGAACTTAAAATGCTTTTGGTCAGGATGGATTTAACAGCTGCACTGGAGAACAGTTAACATCACATAGTGATGCACATGTTATGTGCACACACTTATGCGCAGCCTGCCACATACGAAAACGCAAGACTCAGTGCCTGGCAGAGTCAGTTAGGGTCCATGGTGAGAATGACTGCCTTGGGAAGGGAAGCCAGTGCAAACACGGGCCGTCCATGGGCACAGCCAACTCATCCGCATGGCATGAAGAGGCTGCTCAGTGCCTCCATGGGGCCTCCTGATCCTCTGCTGCTCCTAGTCAATGGGCAAGCCAGGGATGTCAGCACTATCCCAAGAGCTGCAGCGCTGCCACAGTGAAGACCTGAGGCTGGTGGTGGGACACAGGTGGACACTGTTCGGTGAGCTCCTTATGGAAAGAGGCGGGGCCTGGCCTGCACACCCACTGGTGATGATGAGGCTTCCTTCATGGAAGGCACTCCGACCCCTGCCACCCTCTCTGTGGGTAGACAAGGGGTTTCACTCTGCCTCTGAAGCAGGGTCAGGATGGGGAAGGCCAGACTGCCTGTGTTGTTGGAGCCCATCTTCCACGCTGCCTGTGAACATCAAGGCTCAGACCCCTGGTTTAGTGGTGGTTATGCATGGAGACTCGTGCTTCCCAGGGTGCCTGCAGACACCCCATGGTGCCGTGTCAAGGTACATGCAGCACAGTGGTGACACCCCCGGAGACAGTCTGCTGCTGGGTGATGGCACTGACCTATGACCTCTAACTCACACCAAGTGGTCCTTTCCAGCAATTAAGCAGTGAGGCTTAATCAGGTCCTGGACCTCAAAGACCAGCAGGCAATGAGCATGGTGCATGTGCAGCATACTGGGTGCCCAGGCCACACCTCCTTCCTCAGCACCAGGGCTTCTGTTCCTCGTGTGAGCATTGTGTGTGCTTCTCATAAATGTGTGAGCTCCTGTGTGCAGTGACAACTCCACACCTGCTAAGGCCCGACAGCAAGCAGCACCAAGTGTCCATTCCTTTTTGGTGACTTCAGAGTTGTTTAAGAAAAGACACTGACAACGTGGAAAGGACCACTGGAGAGAAACAGCACACAGATCCACTGCATCCTGAGGTCAGGCGAGCGCTCATGGAACACTCTGATCCACGCTGTGCAGGACATAAGAAGATATTCACAGGGCCTGCCATCAACTGACTTTTCAAAACCAAACTGTGTTCCAAGTATTAAAATAATCAATTAGACATGCAGCATCACAAATAGCTGATGATTTTTAAATTTTAAACACATATATATGTGTGTGTGTGTGTATATATATATATATATATTTTTAAAAGACAAATTAAGCCAAGTGCAGTGGCACACACCTGTAGTCCTAGCTACACACAGGAGGCTGAGACAGGAGTGTCTCAAGTTTGAGGCCAACATGGGCAACTTAGTGAGACCTTGTCTTAAAAAAAAAAGGTTCATGAGCCGGAGATATAGCTCAGTGGTTTCGCCGCCGGCTGTGCAAGCACAAGGACCTGCGTTCGATCCCCAGTACCAAAAAAAAGGTTCAATCTCCAGCACTGCCAAATATAAAAATAAATTAAGATTACCTATCAAGCCTTGTATGTGAGAAACCTGCCTGGTCCCTGCCCCAGCCCCCCAATCAATGCACTTAGCTATCTGAGCATGACTGAAATATAACCCAATCTTGGATCAAAAAGTGACCTCAAACAATGATACCTAATGCCACGGACCACAACGTAACTCCACCGCACTCCTGGCTTCCCACTACATCTGCAGTGCAGCCCTGCCCTGCAGGGCCTTGGTGGCGAGCCCAGCCCTCTCTCTCAGCACACCAGCCTCCTCGGGGCACTGCTGGGCCTGTGCGTGCCTCAGTAGGAAGTGGCTGATGAAGAGCTTCAGGCCTTCCCGCAGCACACCCAGCTTTGGGTTGTCAGACACCCTGCAAGGGAATCATACAGATGACATCAGGACCAGGCTCATAAGCTCACACTGTGAGCAATGAAGAGAAAGCCAGTTTACTTTTACTCATTTGTTCTTTGTGGTACTTGGGATCAAACCTAGTGCCCGGGCCAGGCCAGGATAAGTGCTCTACCACTGAGCTGCATCCTCAGCCCCCAGTTTCCTTATAAATCTTTTTTGAGGCGGGGTCTTGTTATGTTGCTCAGGCTGGCCTCAAACTCTTGGGCTTGAACCATCATCCTGCCTCAGCCTCCTGAGACAAGAGATATGTGCCCTCACACCCAGTTTCTTTTTGAAGTAGAATTCTCAATTAAGACCTTCTTAAGGGCTGAGGACATGGCTCAGTGGTAGAAATGTTTGCCTCCCCTTTGTGAGGCCCTGGGTTCAAGGCCCAGCACTGCAAAACCTTAAAATACCATTACAAATCATTGTTAGTTTGCTCAGGAAAGTTTTATGGTTCTTAAATTTAATGCATATTAACTTACAGTTAAGACTGAAATGACTAAGCTATACATAAAGCGCAGGACTGCTTTGCAAACCACCAGGAGTGAACAGTCTTGTCTCCCCTTTACCATGCATGATGAGAACAAGCTAGGCACGTACCTTGAAAAAATTAGACTCAAGTCTTCAACTTCTGTTTCCATTAGCAGCACAGTTAACACTCTGCGTAAAAAGTGGACTCTGGGTTTGTCCAATTCACTGAATTCAACCACCTAGCCATCAGGAGACAGAAAATAAAGCACATTGATGTAGCCAGCTCTTCCAATGATCTGTGAGTGTAGGAAACTGGGGTAACATTTAGACTTGGCCTATGCCTCTATTTCCACTGTTAAAAATGAACAGCTAAAAAAAAAAAGCTGTGGGCAGCACGAAGTGCCACAGGAGCCCCTCCATGGCGGGCACTGGTCCTCAGCAGCGTGAGCCACGATTCCAGGACACAGCCTGACAGCCTGACAGCCAAACACAAAGCCTCTCCATTCCCGAAGCAACAATCCGCTGGGTACAGCTCCCTACACTTACACACCGGAGAGACTGAGTCATACATATAAATCTCTCTCCTAGAAAGCTAAACCCAGAGCTAACTCGACATTTAGCAGTGGGACAGGTCAATGTCCTATACTTACCCAGGGAATTCCACACAGAAGTGATAAAATTAGAGAAACTATAGGTATCAACATAGCTAATTTTAGTCGGCGTGGTGGTGCACCCCTGTAATCTCAGCACTCAGGAGCTGAGGCAGGAGGATTGTCATGAGTTCGAGGCCAGCCTGCAGTATATAGTGAGATTCTGTCTCAAAAAACAAAAACAAAAACAAAAACAAAAAACCAAACCCAAACAAAAAACAAAAAGGAGCGAAGAGACACTCAGGGTTAAATGTTGGTATGTGTGTGTGCGCGCGTGTAGCACAGCCCAGAGTGTCCCCAGACCTCTGTTCCCCATGAGTGAGCTCCCTCTGCACGGGTCCCGTCACCTGGGGACATCACCTATGGCACGGCCCATTCCATGCTGGGCTCCCCACACAAGCGAGCGGAAGGTAGGACGCAGTCCAATGACAAGAGGCCAATGTATTTTTCATGCTCATGAAGACTGAGCTCCCCCATTTTCAGGACGCAGGACCCCAAGCCCAGCACACACTGCAAGACTAGAGGAGATCCTGAGAGGATGCTCTGATGAGGGGCAGGAGGCGCAGGGCCGTACCTGTGGCCACCAAGCAGGCCGCCCCAGAGGTCAGAGCCACCTGTCTCTGCCATCCAGCCCCGACCCTCAGATTTCCCAAGATGCCACCCCCAGGCAGGACTGGCCACCTCGAACCCAGGTCTGTCTCACAATTCCACCATCCCCTCTAGGGCACATCTGGGTATCTGCAGTTCGTGGCTCCAAAGTCTCAAAACCCAGTGAGGGGTGGGGACGTCATTTCAAAATACCCTACTCTGAGGACCCAGCAACATGTCCTGACAATCCTACTTCACTGTTCCTCCTCCCCCAGTGACCTGATCAAGACTCCGGTGAGGGGCAGCACATTGGCCTCGGCCCAAAGCACGTTCACTTGGACCAGCAGTAAGCCCTTCACTGGCCTTACTTCACTAGGTAAATTCATTTCATGTGTTACTTTGGATATATTTTTTTTGGTACTGGGCATTGAACTTAGGTCCTTGCACTTGTGAGGCAGGCGGTGGAACCACTGAGCTAAATCCCAGGCCCTCTTTGGATATTTTTACAATGGCTGACACTGAAAAGTTTTCAGAACCTCAGGAAATGTGTTTTTCTTTTTTTGGTACCGGGGATCAAACTCAGGACCTTGTGCTTGCAAGGCAGGCGCCAGAACCACTGAGCTAAATCCCCAGCCCAGGAAATGTGTTTTCTTAAAGTGCCAAATACAAACAATTACATTAACATTTCATTGCTTTAAATAATTTCATGCATCATACAAACCTTTAAAATGGAAAGTGGAAGAGACTTTGTCTTCAATAAGTGCGCCACCAGTTGAACCAAATTCAAGAAATTGGTGGCTGGCAAATTTTCTAAGTCCCGAAATTTGTCCCATATGCTGAACTGGAAAGTCATCTGGTAACCAGTTACAAAGAAGAATAAAGATAAAACAAATATTAATGGAAGTAAAAAACCAAATAAGCACTAATACAATTGTAGTGGGGGACCTCAAGACCCCACTGTCACAAATAGATCATCTAGACAAAAAAATTAACAATGAAATTTTAGAACTGAACCAAGCTATTGAACAAATGGACTTAATAGATGTTTACAGAGTGTTTCACCCCACAAAATTGGAAAACACATTCTTTTTGGCTGCACACGGGTCATTTTCCAAAACAGACCAGATGCTAGCTCACAGGTCATGTATAAGTAAATGTAAAAGAACTGAAGTTACCCCCTGTATATTATCAGACCATACCACAATAAAATTGGAGGTCAATAACATAAGAAACCGCAAAACTCCCACAAACACATGGAAATTGAATAACACCCTCAACAACCAATGGGTCACAGAGGAAATTAAAGAAGAAATTAGACAGT